TAAAAGGCTGCCAGAATTTCTGAACTCGGTTTGTTCCTTTAAAAGGTTAAAAAAAAAACTCAGAAGGTTTTGGTTAGAAAATTCAACAAGTAATGCTCCTTCAGCCGTTTTAACAGAACGTCCAGAATTTTAATTAAAATAAAAAAGGTGCCAAAACTTGATGGATTTAGAGGATCAAATATCTAGAGAGGTAAAGACTCCGGCAAGTATTAGGAAGCAGATTTTAATTTGCTGACCAATGCGTTTTGGCTTGTGGTCTTCATCGGGATGATCACAAAACGTTCTGTTGGCTCCTTTTTTATAAGATGTACAAACCCCCCATGTTTTTTTTGTGTTTTTTTTTTAAGCCACATTTTCTGTTGTAGGTTGAATTATTTGCATCTGATTTCCTCTGCGTTCATACCATAACATCCACATTACTGGAAATGGTGTATTTAGAGTTTTGTTCTCTTTAGGGCTGTAATGCTGAGTGGTGTTTTGGTCTGTGTGGCAAAGAAGGTAGCATGTTTTCAAAGAGGCTGGAAAATCGACCATTTCTAGTTCCCAGACAAATTTTCGGTGCATCTCTACTTTCCCCTGATGAGATCTCCTCTCATGTTTTAAGTTTTTTTTTTTCCCATCTCCCAGTTTTGTCTCCTAATACGTTATTCTTATTTACAGTTTAAGACCACTGTTTAGATTTATACAGGAAAACAGTAAATTTGCTCATGTCACCCACCAAGCTCCTGTTCTTTGTTCATCAACACTCCAATACTATCCTGGTGTCCCACACGAATCCCGCCCTTTTCATATGCTTACTCTATCCTTTCATTTTCTTCTTTATCCCCAGAGTGTAATAAATGTGACTCCTTAAAATGGCCAGTTAAAACTGAACTGGTGTATATGTGATGTAAAATTTTCTCTCACTTTAGAGAAAGTTCTCACTGTTATTGGGCATGTGATTTAATATGTCCCCTGCTGGGGTTATCTGTCCTTGGGTTGAAGGGTTGGAAATCGTGCCAAATGGGATAACATTGCCGGTGGACATCCAGGGGAGGAGTACGGGGGAGGCCTTCGTGCAGTTTGCTTCACAGGATATAGCTGAAAAGGCTCTAAAGAAACACAAGGAAAGAATAGGGCACAGGTGGGGATGGTTGGTTGGCTGGCTGGATAAGTTGCTTTTCTTATGGTGTGCACATTCAACATCTGAATCAAATGCTAAACTTCCACTACACTTAAATAATGATTAAAATATACACACAAAAACTTCTACATGATAATAAACTCTGCATACATCAAAGATTTTCCGTGGGAAAAAAAAAATGCTAGGGCCCATTTAAAAATAAAAAAAGAAGAATATGAGACCTTGATTGGAAAACAAAATAAATTTGAAGATAAAAGCTGTTTGAATCCAGGTTGATTTAAATGGTTAGGACTCTCTCTCTGTCGTGGTAACATCAGTCCCAATGTAACATGGATCTAGAGCCCACTGCTACAGGCAATGCTTTAGAGTGGCGTTCAGTAGGGCTGGAGTTCTCTCCAAAAAAAAAAAAAAAAACAGGACACTGGCAGATATGGTAAAGAGAGAGATTATGCATCAGATATCTAAATTGCCTCTGATAACCATAAGAAAAGTTCAAAGTTACCAAGGTCCTTGTTAATTTGGAAAATTTCTTAAACTCAGTTGTTAAATAATTCAGCTTGTTTTAATAACTATTAGGTACTCATAGGCATTGCTACCAATGGAATACATCATAACAGCATCTGCATAGCCCAGTATTAAAAAAATGCAGTCTCACCCGTTCCCGGGCCTTAAGTGTTTTGTCTCTATACTCTTAGGTACATTGAGATATTCAAGAGCAGCCGCGCTGAGGTGCGGACCCACTACGAACCCCAGCGGAAGCCTATGGGGATGCAGAGACCAAGCCCCTACGACCGGCCCTCGGCTGGACGGGGTTACAACATGATGGGCCGGGGAGGATCCTATGAAAGGCTGCGTCGAGGAGGCTATGGAGGAGGTGGGTGTTCGTCTACATTCTTTTAACCATTGCTGTAGAACGTGTTCTCTGTACCAGTGCTGCTCTTAATGATAACAAGATTAAGGTGTAAAGTCCATATAAGACCGTGTGTTAATCTGATTGTGTGTGCAGGTGTATCTGATGGGCGGTATGGGGACGGCGGCTCTTCCTTTCAAAGCACAACAGGCCACTGCGTCCACATGAGGGGGCTGCCATACAGAGCCACAGAGACAGATATTTACAATGTAAGAGACGCCTCACTGTCATGGGCTTCAGAGTGGAGTATGTATTTTATCAAGAATCTCCTGAGCGAACGTTTGTTTTCCCTCACTTTTATAGTTCTTCTCTCCGCTGAATCCTGTTCGGGTCCACATTGAGGTCGGCCCAGATGGGAGGGTGACGGGGGAGGCAGATGTGGAGTTTGCGACACACGAAGATGCCGTTGCAGCAATGTCCAAAGACAAAGCCAACATGCGTGAGTTTGTTAGGATCCACTTTGAAATAACTGCATTTAACAGAGCCCCATTTGGAAGTTACTCGATTATAATGACTTATTTTCCTCTGCAGAGCACCGCTACGTGGAGCTGTTCTTAAACTCCACAGCAGGGGGCAGTAACGGCGCCTATGGCAGTCAGATGATGGGTGGCATGAGTAGGTATCAGGGCTGTAAGGGAACCAGATTATTAGTAGCTTAAAGTGACATGAAGTAGTAAACCCCTCATCTTCTAGTTAATAAAGCCATTTGATGGTTTCCATCTGTATTTTTTGATCCACTTTATTGGATCAAATAACATTTTTTGTATAACAAATGAAAATGGAGTAATTCCAATAAGTAACTTTTATGCAGAAATGCTTTTTACTTTTCTAAATTACAACAGGTTTTTTGGGGGAGGGGCTATATGTAGCTTTGTGTCACGCCATTTTTATTTCCAGGGAAGAAACAGGAAGTCAGGAGTTACTTAAAGATTGATAAAAATAAAAAAATAATACAGTTGCAACTTGTATTTAATGGGATTCAAAAAGTGTCACCGATGATTTTGTAAAGTTACTTCTCTATATTGTCTCTTAAACCAATAAATCAAAAATATTTGGATTAAAAGTTTGATATTTCTCAATATAATCAGGATCAGAAAATTACCTGTTTTTAAGTGCTTAATTTGAAAACTTTTTACGAGGGATGTCCTGATACAACTTTTTCATTTCCAAAACGATACCACAGCAATATTGAGAATTGGCAGATAACGATATTTACATGAATCATACTGGCTTTTATTACTTTATAGTGTTGAATGTTAGAAAATGCTTGATCAAGCAATATTACTGTGAAAACAAGTTACCCATGAGATATTAAGTTACAGAAACTTAAAATTGGGTATTTTAGATGCTGGCCGATATTTATATGTATTCTTTTTTTTTTTAAGCTTGTCATATTGGAACGTCCCTACTTTTTACACGTCTTTTTGTGTACAATTTGCCAATGTGTTCAGGGGGTTCTGTAATTGTTCTGAAATCTGATTTTGATCAAAGTGGTTTTGTTTCAAAGGTTTTATGTAATAAATGTGTAGCTGGAGTTTCCTCTTAGTCCCCTTTTGGTTTGTTCCACCACAGGTAACCAGTCTTCATACAGCGGAGGCCAGCTGAGCTCAGGGTACTCTGGTGGGTACAACAGCCAAGGAAGCATGGGTGGCTACAGTGAATACAGTGAGTGTTGGCTCTTTTTTTTTACTTTCATATTTGATTAAACCCTTTATTTCTGAGTTTATAAGTCACACCTGTTTTATGTAGCTTAAAAATGTGAAATATTTGATTACTGTGTTTATTAACAAATTATCAAAAGCAACACTTCCCTGATGTTTGTTATTCCCTTTTTTCTTAAATAAGCAGCTGCTTATGCTGAGAAAAAAATAATTTAGCTAAATTTTAAGCAAAAATGCATGAAATGAATTTTGGCTGTTGGTTAAAATAATAATGAAATGCATCTACTAAATAAAATTATATAAAATATAACTTATATAAAATAAAAGCCTGCTGTGCTATGAATTAGATAATCTCTTACTACATAAAACAGCATCTGATGCCTATTAGACAAAAAAAACAAGTTAATTCCTTTTATAAACGTTAATGGTTTAATACACACGTTTAAGGGAAAACCTTCTGGTGTCCCTCATAACAGATGTAGCGCATTTTACCGTGCATGACTGTTTAAAGTGAACCCTTGGGTCCTATGGTGTCTATTCTCTCTCTTGTTAGGTAACCAGGGCGGGATGGGAAGCAGTTACTATGGCGGTGGTGGAGGCGGAAGCAGAGGCTCGATGAATGGACTTGGTGGGGGATGGGGAATGTAGTTTTTTTTTTTTTTTTCTCACTCTCAACCCTTAATTTGATGTTTTTAACTCAGCATTTTGCTGAAAAAGACTGGAAAATGTCTCACTTTGTTAAACATAGGCTGATGAGGTGAGGTTGTTTTCTCTGAAAATATGGAGGGGAGGGGGTTTATATTTTTTTTAAGCCGGTGATTTACAGAGAGATGCGAGATTTGTTTGTCACAAGAAATGTAACCGAAGTGTTGTCTTCCCCATTCCTCTCAGACCCAACTCATTACAAAACCCCCCCACATGTTTAATTTTCCACTGTCCTGAAGTTTGATGTTTTCTCCAAACACCGGCCCGTTTCTGAAGGTTAACTCTTCCCATGCTGGTGGACGACTCTTGAGTGCATGAGCAGAAAAAAAACAAAACTTGTATTTTTTTGGATGTTTGACCTCATTTTGCTGGTTCAGTGTTTCAGTTGAAATGTATGTTTGACTTCAAGGTGCGCAGGGGTTCTGTTTCTTGATGTTATGACTGTTCTTACTTTTTTTTTTTTCCTTGAAGAGGGCTACCGGATGGCAAATGAACCTAAAATCTGCTACCATGGAGGTTTTTACAGCTTTGAATGCTATTTGTATTTTCTGTGCACAAAGTGAATAAAGTAGTCTGAAATACCACAATGACATAAGCGCTGGAAAGACAAGTTTTATTAATTTATTTAAAAAAGTCAATCAATCCCTGGTTTTATAAACAGGTTTAGTAGAAGTTGACATGATCTACAAAATCATTAAATACATTCTTAAATAGTGTGATTATTTAAGATTTAACAATTACTTTACATAAACCTGCATCCAGCAACAAGGCCGCTGAAGTTAGAAATAAGCAGAAAGCCTAACAGTCTTTATCAGTGTGACATACATCCAGTTATGTTATGTGAGATTATTAGAGATGCAAAGATCAAGTTCTTGGCTTAAAGAAACAACTTTGATTCCAACAGCAAATTTAAATGTTATCCAAATTAATGATGAAAACATTTAATAAACCTAAAAAAAACTAAAGCATTTGTAATTGGTCTGCAATTTAGGGGACAATGGTGCATCTCAGGGTTAATGTTTAGTATCCAACAGCTAGCCCAGTGTTTATTCTCTGCTAGTAAAGTGTATAAATCAGTTTTAGTCCACATGGTCATCTTGGTTACAAACGTGGCACCTGAATTTCAGGTTGACCAACAAACACTAAACACCAAACCCTCTTATTAGTCCCCTAACATTAGTGGTTAGAAGAAGTCTGTGCAGCGTTTTTCTGTCAGGAGCCTGTGGAGGAGCTTCTCTGCAACAAGAGCGTGTGACACACGTCGCACACTCTCACAGGCCGAGGGTAGGACGGTAAGGCTAGCTCGTTGCTCGAGCAGCTGTTGCAGTAGATGTCGCCGCAGTTTCTGCAGTGATGCTGCACAGATGTTAAGTAGAGTAAGAGATCTGCCACGCTAGATAACAAAAGATAGGAGTGTAAAATAAACTAACCTTTCTACGTGAAATGGAGAACTCCTTTTGACATTGTTTGCAGTGTGTAGCTTCATCGTCTTTCATCCATGCATGGCCCTGCAAAGGTGGGATCAAACGTTTTTATTTTCAGTTTTAAAAAATCCTGCAGTTTTTGTTAAAACAACAACATTTTGAAGTATTTTTTAATCAAATTATTAATATTTACCTTCAGGGCCTTATTGACCTCCTTAAAATCCTCCATCTTCAGTTTAGACCTGAGTGAGTATAGAGAACAGAATTAAATATGTTCCATTAAGCAGGAAGCTTTGCTGTTAATGGGTGGGAGTGGGCTCTGCCCACTCAGCTGCTGCTACTAACTGGCTAAGATGTAAGCCCATCTCCTGGAGTGTCTGCTCCTGCTGTTCACACCTCTGCTGCAGCTGCTTTTTCTCTTTCTTTAAATCCTGCAGCTCCTGCAAGAGAAGCAACAAATAAAAAAAAAGTTTAAATAATTTCATATTAGGAGGGGAGTGTGGGCCTAGTGGGTTAAAGCAGTGTGCTTTTGTGCTGAGAAGGTCTTAAGTACCCAGGTCGATCCCCAGAGTGTCCACAAAGTATAAATGCAACCTTCATTAAAAAGCAAAGTACGGAGGAGGATTAGGGCCACTGAAAAAAAAGTTAATTGATTTTTTAATTTTATTCTAGTTTATTTATTTATTTATTCTAGGAATTCTGAATTTAATCTCAGAATTCCGAGTTTAATCTCAGAATTCTGACAGATAACAAACATGTTAGAATCAAGCCATATCCATGTCTGTTTTAGAGACTAGCTCTCTTGTTTTAATGACCTTCTGCTCCTCTATTAATGAGGGGACCCCTCGGGAACGTAAAAAGTTGCCTAATTCCGTCATTTTCCACCAATGTGTCACTGGCCACCTCAAACAACTCACATCTTTGTCAGTGAAGCTGAGTGCTCCCACGTCTCTTCCTTCATGGTGCCCATCTACATTAAGATCAAAAATTCTGAGATTAAAGTCAGAATTCCGAGAAAAAAAGTCAGAATTCTGACTTCTTTCCCATACTAAATTGAAATAAAATTTCAGTTAACTTTTTTTTTCCAGTGGCCCTAATCCTCTTCCGTAGCAAAGCACTCAGGTTTTTGGGAGACTTCTATTTTGTAGCCTATATGTGAAAATCAAATACTTTTAAATCAAGCTTATGTGTGAACAGGTACATCTTAAAACCAAGCTGGTTTCAGTTATTCAATTAAAAGTAGAATCCCATCTTATAAATGAATACTTTTCTAAACTTCCTAAATATAAAGCAGAATTGACCTCATCTGAAAACATGACTTCAACTTCCAAGTACACCTCTTCCTTTTTCTCTTTAGCATAGCTAAGATGCTTCTTATCATTTCAGGTGTACGTTAGAAATAAAGGGATTTTAGCTTAGAATATTTAATAAAGACCATGTAAAGTATAAATGAGCTCTATTAATCACCCATCCAAACTTAAATGATTAAAAAAAAACAATTACATAAAATTAAGTCTCAAAAGTAAGGGGAAAAAAGCATGAGACACTGGGTGGTTGTCCACTGAAACCACGCCCACATGCTATTCTGTTTCACAACAACAATATTATAGAAAAAGAAAAAACTCTAAATATATTTATATTCTGATTTTTAATTCAGGGGGTATCATTGGAACTTGGTACATGTGTGAGACTAGCAATGGTGAAACAGAAGAGAGTAGAATGGTGAAACAGGAGAGTAGCTCTCACAATTTCTCAATCCTGATGCTTCTGCACACCTTTTGCTTCCACTTCCATTTATATGCCTAATAACAGCATTTTCCCTCTTACAGGGTTGCAATTTTATTTTTCTGAATCGATTTTTACTGATTGTATGTGAAATTGTCAAGAGACCAAACCTATTAGCAGTTAGCTATTGAGACACTGGACATTTTTAAAGTAAGTTGGATTTTTTTTATTTACTGGCATTATTGAACTTGATATTTCTACCTGTGTGTGAGGTGAACTGACCGTGCTGAGGCCCTGGAGCTGCTGCAGCTGGGTGCGCAGTTCAACGCTGTTGTCCTGTTCCCGTTGCAGAGCCTTCTGCAAACTCTGCCTCTGCTCTCTCTCTGAGCGAAGCTCACTTTCTAAACCCGTTCTGTGTAGAAAAGAGATGCATTTCCCTTTAAAATCATTACTTATTAGCTTTAATGTTCTATTAACCTGTTTGGACGTTTTCTTAGTTTGCAATAGGTTTTTTTTTTTATTATTTCATGGTGCTGTAGAAATCTTATAACCGTCTTCTGTTTGAGTTTACCTTAATTTGTCCAAATCCGTCAACTGTTTCTCGAACGTGTCAACTTTCCCTTCCAGCTCCACTCTCATGTCTTTATCCGACTGGTCGGTTTGCCTGCGCTCCTGCTCCGATTTCTGCAGTCTGAAAAGTCAAGAGGACTAATTAAGCGAATGTTTTAATACAGAACAGGGGCAAATCCTGCATGTGTTAATGCACACCGCCGCTCCAGTTCCACCATGGTTTTCTCCATGTCGTTTATCCTCTGTTCCAGCTGCACCGCCTCCGCCTGCTTCTTCTCTGCTTGTCGCTCCGAGTCCTAGGAGACAACCCAGTTAACATGAAGCCAGTATGTACAGTGTGGTTGTTATGAAACACATTAGGCTCCTCTGTTCCTACCTGCGCTTTGTGGAACATCTGCAGGTTAAGAGTCTTGACCTGGTCGAGCTGGAGCCGTAACGCCGCCAGCGTGTCCTGTTTGTCGTTAATGTCTTTCTCTAGTAGCTTCATGGCCACTTCCATCTCTTTCTTTAGGCCCACCTGGAGCTCAAGTTCACGCTCCAACTCCTTCCAATCACATAAAATGAGAACAGAAAGTAAAGTCAAATACATTTTCTCTTTTCTAGAATATGTGAGTAGAGCGCCTTGTAAGAGTGTCCATGTGATTGACCTACACACACCCTTATAGAGGGGAAACACGGTTGAGGCAGCATCATGCTATGGGGTTTTTCCTTTATTTTCCGAGATTGATTTAATAAAAGATTGAGTTAACAGAGGACTAAAATGTATAAAATCTATGCGAGGTTGCAAAGACCTGATTCTCTAAACAGACGTTTACCTTCAAGAACAAAGGAGTTTAACACAGATTCATGTTTGAATAGTTCATTCGCATTTCATACCTAAATCCAACTGAGAAACTTGCCAGCTCAAAGATGCAATTTAGGTCTTAAATGGAGAAGCAGCATTTAGTTTCTATGCTCTGCTTATATGGAACAAACTTCTAGAAAACTGTAAAAGTGCAGAAAGCCTGAGTTCCTTTAAATCAAGACTAAAAACACATTTGTTTAGGATTGCCTTCGACTGTTCTAGTTAAACAGTTCAACTAATACATCATTAGTTCAACTTTTTTATTTTCTTTAGTCCAACTTTTTTTTTTATATTATTTTTTGTTTCTGCATTCTTTTTTTTTTTTTACTTTATGTTTATTTGCTTTTTAAACAAACATGAACAAGAACACACATTGCTAAACATTCCTTGGCACATAGAGATTATGTAACAGTGCATGACGGAGAGCAAGTAAAAGAAAATCCATCATCCATGGAGCTGACTGATACAGAATGTAAAATGGACAGATAAACTAGAAAGATGGACAGTTAATACATTATAACTGTCTGTGGGATTCAGTTCAATTGGAAATGCATCTCTCTATAGGTAACCATCTCTTTACAAAAACATCAAACTTCAGTTGTAATTGGGCAGTTAAAGCCTCCATTCCATATACTTCCTTCACTTTCTGCTTCCACTGTGCATCCGTAGGAGGCAGTGCATTCCTCCATTTAATCATTACCATTTTTATAGCAGTCATCAGTAGAATATGTAGTAAATACTTTTGATCTCTGGAGTACTTGTCCTCAGGATTTAGGTCCAAAAGAAACTGTCTCGGAGTGAACGGCAAGTCAGTACCCAGAACCCTGTCTATCTCACTCTTTACCCCCCTCCAGTAAGGAAGCATCATTGGGCAATCCTAGAATATGTGTAGGTGGTCGCCAATCCCTCCACATTTTCTCCAGCAGTACATCGCAGCTGGGTTATCTACAAATTTAGAGATCACTAAGGGTGTCTTAAAGAACCTTGTCTTCATCTTCCAGTCAAATGTTTCTGCATTCTTTATTTTATTATTTTTCCCTACTTGCTTTGATTCTGTTTTATTTTCCTATATTTTAATCATGTAAAGCACTTTGCATTGTCTTTGTACTGAATTGTGCTATAGAAATAAATTTGCCTTGCCTTAAATTGTGCAAAGCTGTCAGGGAAACATCAAAGGGAAAAAGTTTCTGCCTCTTCCTGATTTCTTTCCCTTTTTTTGCAGGTTTGGTGCACTTAAATGTTTCAGAACAGCAAATAAAATCAAATAGTATTCAAATACAGCACAAGCCAACGCAAAATTCTTCCTTTTTTGAATGACTTTCTTTGTGCCCTGTGTGAAAAAGCAATTTCCCAGGACTAGCGTTAGCAGCAATAGCTTTAACTAAGTCTTTTCCAATGTCGGCCCATTCATTTTGACAGAATTGCAATAATTTCGGCAACATTGGTGGGTTTTTAATACAGCAAACTTTCTTTCCCCAAACTTCAAAACTTTTGAGATGAGGCATTACAATCAGGTGGATGCTGTTGGAGCCTCCTTCCTATGATTTATGGGTACAAAAAGTAAGGGAATTGTATAAAACGGAAAAGATAACCTACTCATTAAGACTTCAAAAAACCACTTTTGGCCTGCGCTGGGGGCCAGCAGAAGCTATGCTGATGTAAATAAGCTCAACAAGTTTGTCTCTTGGCATATGATGTTTAGCTATTCCGCCCAAAGTGTATCCTTATTTTAGGGTTTTAGGATGATGAGCCTACAAATGTGAGGCTGAGATCATAAGATATCGAGCTAAGATGTTCATTTTATGGAAGACTTTATATTGTCAACATTTGTGTTATGTACCATTGATGTATGGCTGTATAATTGCTCTGTAAAATAAAAAAAAAATAAAAAAGATTTATCCATGATAGGAGTTCAGGAAGACAGAAAACGGATAAAGTAGTGATCTTCTTTGAGCCTCACAAAAACAATGAGGGACAGTGCAGGAAAGTGCAGCTAGCCACTCTCCTCAAGGGAAAAAAACTCAGGAGGACAGAAAACAGCTGTAGTAAAATGGTGATCCTCATTGAGCCTCATATAAAACAAAACAATGAGGGGCAAATAGAGCAGGTAAGCTTGACTTATCACTCTTCCCTCTTTATGAAAAACAAAACTAAATAAATAAATAAATAAAAAGAAAATTTAGAAAAAAGATTCAATAAAATGTGTTCTGTCTCAGTCAGGGGTAGGAAAGTAGTGCGCTGACCTCTTGGTTGTGACCTGGGTGGGCTGAATGGGATTTTTTTTTCTTTTTTTGTAGGGATTGTTTTTACTGTATCTATCTTTGTTGGATAATTATATATTCTTTGTATTTACAAACTGTATGTATAAAAGGAAAATTCAATAAAAAGACAGTGATAAAAAAAAAAAAATAGTTCCCATTATATTTTTAATATAAGCCTTTTAAAATCCTCCATCTGTTCTGGTTTGAGATGCTGCACAGCAGTCTGGTCATGAAGTTGGGCTTTGCTTTGCAGCCATACCTTTTTATAATATTTCCCAAATTTAAGTCAGTGTTACAGTTTGTGGGACACAGAGACAGAATAAAAAAAAGTATATTAAAAAAATCTGGACATCTGGATCTGCTCTGCATAGTAGGAGCCTCTCTATACGCAGTCAGTGTGAGGTAGGAGAAAAAAAACGGATCGAAGTTTAAAAAGTCGTCGCAAACGTTGTGACCCGGGTTTTAATTACCCCTCTGATGGGAGAGAGGGGTGTTTGTTTGCAGGTAGGTGATTCCTAAAGGGGGCTCTTGTTTTCACCAGAAAGGAAGGGGATTTTACTCAGGCAGCAGAACTCATGAAGATTACTCAGAAATACATCAACCAAGCACAATTCTACTTTTTGCATAATACTGATGAATGAATAGCATTAAAACAGTTGAAACGATTGCATTTTAGTGTTTATTTGTGTTTCTTTTCACTGTAATTTAAATGAGTTGTTTTCAATGTCTTTCAAAGAGGCAAATGCTTTTTTTACACCACTGTAGCCGGAACGTTTCTAGAACTGCAGGTCAGGTGTACCAACCATCACTCCACAATTTTCAGTTAAAGGTTTGTCTTATTTTAGTTTCACTTATCATTTGTGCAGTAACTTGTTTTGGTCTGTCACCCTGAACTTTAAAACAAAAAGAAATGTATATTATTGTTCCTAGCTCTATGAACATGTTTGGTTCGTTTGCAGCAGCTCATCAGAAACAAACCTGGCGAATCCGCTTCTCTTCTTTGTACTGTTTCCACACCATGTTGTACATCTCATCCAAACCTTGGCGAGTCTGTCTGTACGTCTCCAGCTCCACCTGGCTATCCTGAAGTGCTGCCTGAAAACATAAAATCATGGTTTATTCCTTTAGCTTTCTTTCTTTTCTTTTTTGATTCTGGTAGTTTTAAAGTACTTCCGAACCTCTTCCTTTTTCTGGCTCGTCAGCAAGATGGAGTCGTTCTCCTGTCTGAGCTGCTGCTGCTCCTCCTGCAGAGAGTTGATTCTGTCCGTTGCTGCAGTCAGCTACGGAGAAACCATTTACTCTATTTAGTTGGTGAAGATTAAAACAGGGCTCTTGTTGTTTTATAGTCTGCAAACCTCCTCGACGAGCTTGTTGTTGGTCTTCTCTAAAGAGTCCATCTTCGCCTGCAGGTCGGTGACGGTGCCGGTCAAGTGCCGATTCAGTTCTTCGATGTAGTGCTTCTGGTCTAGTATGGCTGTCATCTTTGCATCGCTGAGAGGAAAAAAAACAACTTTAGAGCATTCAATAAACACTTAAGATATTTGTTTAGGTCAGAAGCAATTTGAATCCACCAACTCTTTTGGGGTCTCGCTGCTTGTAGGATCCTTCAGGTAGAGGGAAAAATCAATGACCGCCACCTTAATGTGAGAGGAAAGGTAATTATCAGCTAAATGTTCAAACAGAAACTAGATTTAAAGCTGCTTTTTTCTGGATTACTGACCTGAGAATCAAGATCCTCCCCTTTAATACAGAGGTTAGCATCTATGACGTTGAGGCCAACGAGCAGCCCCCCCATCACTGCTCCTTCCTCCTCCAGCATTAGAGCTCCAGAGTCATAAAACTCACTGGGGGGTTAAAATGCACACATGAAGGAACAAAATTAAATTATTACTCTCTTTACAAAAAAAATCCACAAGTAAAGAGAGGGGAAGGGGGGGTATTTGTTACAAGATTGCTTCAAGCAAAGATTACATTTGCCGAATCAAAAAAAAAAAAAAAAAGAGAAAGCAATCCAGAAATTAACTTTGAAAGCAATAAAAAAAAAAAAAGAAGAACTTTGCTCTTTTCCCCCTGATTTTATTCTTTTAAGTTTTTCCCCAAAGATTTGCATTTTCTTTTACTTTTTTTAAAATTTATTATATTTTCTTTTTTTTTTGAAACAGACTTTTTTATTTTCTAATTTTTTATGTGCACTTTGATCAATAAAAAATAGTCTTTCATGCAAACCAATAGAAATATTCCTCTTTCCAGAGGACAGTAAAAAGAAGGTAATCTGGAAAACACAATTTGAAAAAATGCAATTCATAAACCTTTATCTGGAAAAAATGAAAATACAAAATCTATAAAAACATTTTTAGAAAAAAAATAAAAAACTTACAAAATTGTGAAAATTTCAAAATAAAAATAAATGTGAAAAAATATGGAATAAAAAATGCAAACAACAACTTGGAAAAATTAAAAATTTGATGAAATAAAAGACAAAAAGAAAAATTTAATGTGACATACGTTTAAAAATAAAATCTGAGAAACAAGCAAAGTTACTCTGGAATGGAAAAAAACTAAATTTACATGAGTGACGTTTTCTTGCTGCAGGGTAAATTCTTACTGATTGAATCCACCAACCTCAGGAGGTCTTTGTGGTCCAGCAGGGCTTTCAAGTAGTCTGCTACTTTTTTCTGCATTAGCGCCAAATGCAGCCAGGCACGCGCTCTTCCTAAGCCCGTTCTGCAGTAAAGTAGCAGAAAATGTACATAATCATACAGACTGAAGGGTTTTTTACATGGAGGGTTCCTGCATATTTTACATCACTTTTCCCTTTTTTTTATATTTATCCAGTCCTAAAAGTACACAAATTCCGTACTTTTCCATTCTGTGTAGGAACCGGGACAACATACCTGATACCAGGCAGGTCTCTGGCACTTGTACTAATGTTGGCAGACTCTGGACACAACTTTTCAACTAGCTCCAGAGGTCCCCATATGGACTTGTTCTGTCCAATGAAGGATTTCTTGGCTGAAAGAACAGAAAATATAAAAGTCAGTCATGCTGACTAACTCTGTCATTACAGAAAACAAATTCAATTCAATTTATTTCTATAGTGTCAATTCACAACACATGCCATCTCAAGGCACTTTACAGTTCACCTTTCATAAAGTCAAATTGATTCAAAGTTTTCTATAAAAGGAAAACCAGTTGATTGCACCGACTCATTGACTGGAAAACAATCCCTCACACTAAGCATGCTTGTAGCGACAGTGGAGAGGAAAAACTCCCTTTTAACAGAAGAAACCTCCAGCAGAACCAGGCTCGGTGTGAGCGGCCATCTGCTGAGGCCGACTGGGGTTCAAGGAGACAGAAATGTCCGCTCCTATCTAGCAGAAAGCTCACCTTTAAGACCATGTTTGAGGCAGTGTTCAAGGACCAGGAAAAACTGCTGGAGAGGAGGATACTCAGAGTCCAGGGTTCTGCCCAGGCTCAGGGAGGACTGGATCAAAACTTTGATGCTTAACTTCATCATACTGAGGAGGTTGGATCTCTCTATCGCCATGGGGTCTTTGAGAGGCACAACTGGGAAATAAATACATACATAAAGAAGCTACATCAGCAAAACAGGCGCTACTTCTCCATAAAAACACAAACACAGTGAGATGACTGCTTATAATCAGATATTTAACTCCATTCCATGGTTACAGTCATGTGTCTGACAGCTGACAGAAACTAAAGAGGAAGTAACACGCTTGGTTTTTGCAAGTTGGAAGAAACTTAGTTGGGTTGAATAAAGTGGGAAACAGTTGCAGCTTACCGGGAAGCGTTTCTGAGAAGCTCCTCCGATTATTCTCAGCCTCCTTCTCGCCTGGAGAACTCACAGCAGAATCCTGAGAGGCTTTTCTCGGGGCAGCGGCGAAGCTCATCCCGATGCTGATCGTCTCCGTGGCCTTCCGAGCCAGAGACAGGATCGGAGCCGACCAGTTGCTCTCTGCAGCGGCCGGATGCGGCTCCTCTGGAGAGTCCCGACCCTGTCTGTCACAGGGCTCTTCGTTCGTCGGAAGACTCGAAACTTCTGGCTCCTCATGCTCTGTTTTTTCTACATGATCCTTGACAGCTGTGTTTACTTCCAATGTTTGGTCGGCCATGTTTGCTCCCCACCCCTCCTCCTCCGCCCTTCACTTCCACGTGACCAGATTAGCTCAATCATGCGCCCCGTAAGAAATGAACCCTTTTTCCATTGGTTCATGGCATTCTTCTTAAAAATAACATGATATATGATAGAAATGATGTAAAGATACGAAGCCTCGTTTTATAAAAACGTATAAACACGGCGCGGAACAAGAGAATTATGACTGTAATTATAGAAAGCGGTTTATGAGTTGGTAGTTATGACTTCTTCTTTTTCTTCTTCTTCTCCTGCTTCTTCTTCTTCTCTTCTTCTTTTTCTTTGCGGTCGGTAAAAAGCAAAGGTTGCGCATTACCGCCACCTACCGAATTGGAGTATGAACCAGACTGGACACAGTTTATTCAGTTATGGTTTGGAGATTTAAAGGGAACAACTAAAAGTAACCGATTACAATATGTTTTAAATTTAAGCGAAGTTATTGAACTAAATGGAACAGATTTTATTATCCCTGAACTTGCATTGAAGAACACAGCTTTATATGATATATCATAGGCAGAGGCGGTTAGGTATTTAGTTATATTTACTCAGCTACATTTACTTAAATCGCTTTTAGAATGAAAAAATTATTTCAGAAGCAGTGTTACTTTACTGTAATTTTTACTTTTGCTTTAGTCAAATTCTTGTGAGTATCACAAGTCTAACTTGAGTAAACAATCTCCTTTCTTCAGGTTCCCAAAAGGCCCTTAAAAAGGAACTGTCACATTTTCAGAAACAAAATTAGTAGTCGCAGGTTCAATTTAAATGTTTATAAAATCAATTCGCACATGCAAAGCTATATAAAAATCTGTTTAAAACTTTCCTTTTTGATAAAGCTTATAGTTAGGGGGGCTCAGGTTATCCTGAGCTATCTCTATAGTTATGCTGCTATAGGCTTAGACTGCTGGAGGACATAGGGACC